GAACAAAACTCTAAAAAAAATAAAAAAAGAGCTCCCAACTCATCTCATCGTGCATTGGCATGCAAATCGAGGCACACGTCACTCAAGACGCACCTCACATGTGACTCTCGAAAGTCACTGACAATTTCAAAAATGTCATGACCAACCACGTCTTCAACCTTATCTTCAACCTCGCGCAAATCCAAGATTCAGCATCCAAATGATGAAAATGCCCATCGAACGAACCCAGAGTCCAAAGTGATCAAATATCATCCAAACAACTCCAAAACTATGACATACGCTTTGTTGGCATCAAAACAGGACAAACATCTCCAATTGTCCAAAAAGTCACTATTTGCGTCCCATAGGTCCCACATGGCAACATGACGCTCCAAAAATCTGCCTCAGGCCCACAACCTCGGATTTCGCATACGGTTGCACCAATGGACTCTAAATAGCCCTGACATCTACTGGCATCAATTTGGGTCTGATCCAACGGTCAAATCATTCTAGATCGAACGATTATGCATGATAACTTAAGGTCCGCGTGAACCTACAGACTCACAACAATACAAACTACTAAATACATAAAATTGGACACGATCTAGCAATCCGATCTAACAGTCAAGAATTTGTGGTGCATAAATCGTCGGTCAAACTATGGATCTCGCACTTTCAGCACACCACCATGCTCATTACAACGAGGACTACAACCTAACCTCAAAATATGAACTTGGAACTGAAATCATAAAAAGTCCACTATTGTAGCAATTTCGAAATTTGTATGAAAGCCTTCAAAATTTACCTTAGATTGTAGGGTTCATTCTCACAATCACGTAGGTGAAAACGATTCCACATTCGAGCTCTAAAATTAAAGATATGAATTTCAAAAGATATTCTAAGAAAATCTATTTTTCTTTCTCTCAAACCAGACCAAGGAGAGTCCAATTTTTCTGCTACCAAATTCCCAGTGCCCCTTGTTTTCTCCTTAGTTTTGTGACATGTGGCATACAACTTAACAACTTAACACTAATTTAACTCTGTTGACTCTCTTCATCCTTTTATTTAAAAATAATAATGAAAATACACGTTTGACAAGAGGAATTGAAGTTAAAAAAAATCCCAGCACACCCCATCGAACTTCAATATCCACCCAGCACATGACTACCACCCAACCCCAACGGCGGCAATCCCTATTCTCCACAACCCAACCCCAGCAGCGGCAATTATGTTAATTGTTATTTGTATTAAAGAATATTAAAATATTAAAATATTAAAATAATTTTATTCACAAGCATAGTCCATTCATCTTCTCCGCCACCCACCATGCGGTGCCAATAGATATAGATCCAGATTTGCCTTCAATTATTGTGGTCCCTTTATTTCAACAAGCACACCCTCCTTTTCTCCTATCTCTCCCTTCACACTGCCGCACCAAATCTAGAATCTACAAGTCCTCTGCCTCGAAGACACCGTCAAGCTTCATCGCGAGCTCGACATTCCCGCGACTCCTCCATTGCGACCTTGACTTTTCCCATGATTGCTTCCTCCAAGGAAGATCAATCCATAAAGTTGATGGAGGATATGAGTCAAACGACATAAATATGTTCTATTAGGCCAGAAATTTGGTGAGAAAGAGGGGGAAAGGGACGATTCGTCGCTGGGTTTGGATGGTCGTCGTGTGATAGGAACATTTTTTTTTTTACTTCAGTTTCTTTTGTCAAACATGTATTTTAATATATTTTAATTATTTTTTAAAATAAAGGGATGAAGAGAGTTAACATAGTGCCACATGTCACAAAATTAAGGAGGAAACAGGGTGGGCATAGGGGATTTGGTAACATAAAAATTGGACTAGATGAAGGAAGCACACGAGAAGAGAACTAGAAGAAGAAGAAGAAAAGGAGAAAAAAGTGTTGGCACCCATGTGCAAACAGTAGTGAACAGTTATTTTATTTTATTTCCTTTGCTGCCATGTGTCATCCTTCGATTGATCCAATTTCAATAAATTCATTAAAAATTCATCCGAAACTTACCACGTGCTTGTAGCAACGTATACTATTTTTATATCCAAGAATCATAATTTTCTCACTTCAATTTCTTATACCTACTTTGAAAAAATTATAAAATTAAACTTAAGCACATTATAATTCGAATTGAGATTAAACTCACTTAAATCCATTATTTCCACATTAAACCAACTTCATAAATTGCTCACACATTTAGTTAACCTTATATGACTTTTCAGAATATTAATAACAAAAAAAATCCATTTTTGAGGTTATTAATCACAAGACTTTTCTTGCTGCAACAACCTATTGGAATTTGAAAGTTTATTCTGTTTTAGGTATAAAAAAAATATTATGTTTCTAAGAAAAGGAAGGGAGACAGGAAATTTAATTTAATATATTTTATTGACTTATACGCCCCCCAAAACTTTGGTCAAATCTCACTTTGCACTTAAAACTGAAAGTGACCCATATATCCTCTTTGACCGTGGTTTCGCGTTTCACTTTGCTCTTGCTGTCAACTCCGTTCCTAACCCCATCAAAATTGCTAACATGGCAATGATAATTTCGCCTTTTTGTCCCATATGCATAAAAACATTAAAATTTAAAAATATATAATTAAAAAAAATCCAGCAACCTCATCCCCCACCAGCCATGTCCACCCATCCCACTTGGATGTCACCACTACCTTTCCACCTTCCTGCACCCTCTCCACGACCTCAACCTACCTACCAGATCAACCCACTCCAACAATCTCTATCTCCCATCTCTTTTAGCCCACAAAACCCACTCCCTCCCCACTCTGCTCCCATCGGACAAACCCCACCACCACACAACCACCAGCCACCTCCACCCAATCACCTCTAAAACATTCATCCACCAACCCCAAATCGCCCACCCTAAACCACACAACTCCAAAATGCCAACCTACACCCAACCAACTCCAACAAATCCATCCTTACCTAGCAACCCCAATTGATCATAGTACAAATATTACATAAGAACACATCTTGTTGTAGTGGTGCGGACCCATTGTTTGATATTGGAGGTCATGGTTTCGAATCTCCTTGCACCAACACACTTAAAATTTTCATTTTGTATTTAGGTCTATGAATGGAGGTCGGCTCCACAATTTGCCAGGTCATATTGGATGGAAAATATTCATCTAGGATGAAAAGACGAAACTACCCCTGCCACGTCAGCATTTTTAATGGAATTGACGGCGGGGGTAAAGTGAAACATGAAATCATAGTCAAAGGGGGTATATGGATGACTTTCAATTTCAGGGTGCAAAGTTAGATTTGACCAAAATTTCAAGGGGCATTATAACTAATAAGCCTATTTTATTTATAAGAGATACAAAATTGTAGAATGTTTAGTAATAAATGCTAAGCTTATCATGTCAAGTTTAATCTCATTCATTCATAATGGGCTAATCCAAGAATGTAAAATTTATGTAAAAAACATAATGCCACGGATCAAAAACTATAATATTTTTTAAGATGCATGAGATTCACCCTTAAATTCGTATTCACTCTGTGGTTTCTTTGAATTATCAAATTTTTCTGGTCACTTGTTTGTCTGTGTGATTCTTATTCTTCATTTTGTCAAGTAAATATTTTCTGTTTGACAATCTTGGTAGTCACCTACTGTTTCTTCGTTTAGCATTTTGAATCATTTGGGAATTTTAACTATGTTTATTTGAATATGCTGATACTTTCTTATATTCATGTAACAAACTAGTAGCAGGCTTTAATTTTCTGAATTTGATTCAATGGCAGCAAAGGAAGATTAATGTAACAATTAGCAGGGAGTTGCTATATGATTTTGTACAATGAATTGCTTGTACTACAAGAAAAAAAAAGCGGCAACAGAAGTGAAAAGTAGACACCACCCAAGTTGTGCACACGGAATAGGCATAAGCCAAAAAAACACTAATCGATATTTACGTGATTTATTTATTTATTTATTTTTTGGAACTAGGTTTAGGGTATATCTTTATAATATTAATGGTGGACGTGGAAGTGGGTAAATTAAGCTGAAAAATTGAAAACTGGATGGATACGGCGTCGTTTGGTTCCGCTTGCTTATAGAAAATTAGACGACAGAAGAAGGAGCCGTCGTATGGCGTGGGCTCTCAGTCTCACGCACCCAGGGCTTCTCTAGGAGACCAATTTGCAGCTTTCCTGAATTAGACTCACCTAATTCGAATAGGATTTGTACAATTAATTCTATAAAGTTGGGTCCTTGTCGTCTTTGGTTCAACCATAAACCAGTTTTCTTGCAGAAGGTATTTGAGCTTCCTGCTTGTCAATTTGTTTCTTCTGCTGGAGCAACAACGTGGGGAGTGCAGCAGTCGAGACTCCATCAACACCTCATCTGGTACTGGTACGGTGGTGTTGAGAGTTAAGCTGCATACTAGTTTTGAATCAAGCTGCAGATGTTAATCCTGCAGATTGACAATGAATAGGATGATGAAATCGAAGGAACTGAAGAACTTTCCTTTTATAGTAATAGCTGTTATAGGATATGTCCAACAGCTAGTTTTCTTACTATTTTAGGAAATTTTACAGCTGTCATTCTTAGCTGTCTTAGTCCTTTATGCTGTAACAATTTCTATCCTAGGTGTAAGAATCGTAGCCTCCAATGACCTTGAATGGCTGGAGATGAGTCCTTGTATCCTAGTTTTTAGGATTTGTTTTTGGCAGCTTGTGTCATGCTTATATTGTGTTTTTTTGGCTCTGATGCAAAAGAAGAAATACAGACAAAAAGCATTCTCATTCTCTCTGAGTTTTCTCTCCTCTGCATACGTTGCATATACTGGTTCTATTGGTTTCTGTGAATTAGGCACTAAAACCAGCAAACAAAATACCAAACTCTAACATGGTATCAGAGCTTCTGGTCTGATTTCAGAGAAGGGGCGTGAGCTGTGAGAAAGGGGGTTTTCCTGAAATCTCTATAAGGGATAAAGGTTGCTCTTTTATTGTGTGGTTCACTGAGATTCACATCAAAATGGTGGGTTCAGGTTCTGCAGGTGGAGATTTACGAACTCCACAGTTCAACGGTTCAAACTATGATTTTTTGTCAGTAAAAATGGAGACTATCCTCATAGCATATGACCTATGGGATGCAGTGGAGATTGGAATACAACCACAGCCGATTATTGAGCAGGAAGCAGGCTCTGAAGGCACTGGAGATGAAGAGAGTGAGGTTGAGCAAATCCCAGTGGAAGCACCTACTATCTCCAGAGAAGATAAGATCAAAAATGCCAAGGCTTTGAGTCTTATTCAAGGAGCACTGACAGATGAACTCTTTCCTCGCATCAGAAATGAGAAGACTGCAAAAGGTGCTTGGGAAATTCTAAGAAGAGAGTTCAGAGGAGATAAAAAGGTAAGAGCTGTGAAATTACAAGCTATTAGAGCTGACTTTGAATATTTGAGAATGAATGATGTTGAATCTCTGGATGACTACTTGGCTCGTTTTTTTGAAATTGTAAACAACCTGAAATCTCTAGGAGAAGATGTAACAGAGAAAAGGATTGTCCAAAAATTGTTGATGAGTCTAAGTAGGAGGTACAAGTCCATAGTGTCAATCATTGAAGAAACCAGAGATCTTGACACTATTAGAGTTGAAGAAATTCTTGCATCTGTCAAGGTTTATGATAAGAGAGAGGATTTGCATGATGAAAGGGACAAATTGGCAGGAACTGAGAAAGCTTTTAGCAGTCTCAGAGTTGGAAATGATCAAGCTTCTGGAGCTAACAAAAGTTCTCAGGGAAAGCAAAATCAAAAATGGCAAGGACAAAACAAAAAGGGCTCAAATTGGTCTCAAGGTGGAAACTTTAACAACAATAATGGCTCAAATTGGAATAATGGCTCTGGAGGGAATTGGAACAGCAGCTTCAATTCACAAAACAAGCAAGGGAGTAGTAGTCAAGGTGGTGTGAAACCACAGTGCCAAGTGTGTCAGAAATACCATTTTGGTATATGCAGATATAAGGGAAAACCCAAGTGTGGAAAGTGCAGTCGATTTGGTCATTTAACTAAGGACTGTGAAAGTGGTAAACAAGTTGCAAACTGTGCAAAAGAGGAAGAAGTAACCACAGGAACAATGTTCTATGCTTGTCATGCAAGCTCAATTGCATCAAGCAAGTCTGTGTGGTTTGTCGACAGTGCTTGCAGCAATCACATGACCTCTCAAGAGTCCTTGTTGATCAATCTTGATAGGTCAGTGACCTGCAAAGTGAAAATGGGCACTGGTGACCTTGTTCAAGTCACAGGAAAAGGGACACTAGTAGTTGAGACAAGAAAAGGGAGAAGATATATAAATGAGGTGTTGTTAGTCCCTGGTCTGGATGAGAATTTGTTGAGTGTAGGACAAATGATGGAGCATGGGTACTACATTCTATTTAGAGGAAACTATGCATTAATATGTGATGATAGCAGTCTTGACAATGTTGTTGCCAAAGTAGCAATGGCTGGAAATAGATGCTTTCCATTGTCTATGGAATCTATCTGCTCAATGGGAATGAAAGCAGCAGTACAAGAAGATCCATGGATTTGGCATAGAAGATTGGGGCATTTGAATTTTGCAAGCATGAAAAAAATGTAGCAAACACAAATGGTGTTAGGCTTACCTGGTTTCTCAGAAAAAGAAGGAGTATGTGAAGGCTGTGTGTATGGTAAAAGCCATAGAGAACCATTTGAGAATGAGAAGCCTTGGAGAGCTAAGAATCCACTTGAGTTGATACACACGGATGTATGTGGTCCAATGCAAAATGAGTCCATTGGAGGAAATAAATACTTCATCACATTCGTTGATGACTATTCAAGAATGTGTTGGGTATATTTTCTCAGAAACAAGTCAAGTGTGATAAGTGTGTTCAAAAAGTTCAAAGCTTTTGTTGAGCTACAAAGTGGATTCAATTTAAAGAAACTAAGAAGTGATAGAGGTGGAGAATACACTTCACATGAATTCCTTGAGTATTGCAGTGATCTTGGCATGGAGAGGCAATTGACTATTGCCTACTCACCTCAGCAAAATGGGATTGCTGAAAGAAGAAACAGAACCATTTGTGAAATGGCAAGATCAATGATGACTGAGAAGAAAATTCCTATAAAGTTCTGGGCTGAAGCAGTTGGTACTGCTGTGTATCTGCAAAACAGGTGCTATACCACTTCAGTTACAGACAAAACTCCATTTGAAGCTTTTACAGGAAGAAAACCAGGTGTAAAACACCTGAGAGCGTTTGGAAGTATTTGTTACAGTCACATTCCATCAAACCTTAGACAGAAGTTTGATGACAAAGCAAGCAAAGGAATTTTTATGGGTTATGGCAGCTGTGAGAAGGGTTACAGGGTCTATAATCTTCAAACTGAGAAGATTATACTCTCTAGAAGTGTTGTTTTTGATGAGAACAAATCCTGGAATTGGGAAAGCAAGCAAGATGAAACTGTTTCTGTGCCTTTCATCTTTGAAAATGGAAATTCTGAGATAGCTGAAACAGAAGAAGCCTCTCATGAAATTCATGTTGACTTGTATATAGCAGATTAGCATAGTTAGAGGCTTCTTCATAGGAGTTGACTTTTAGCCTTTATTTTCTTTCCATACTTGTAATTGGCTGTTCACTATTTAATCCTCCTTTTGGGAGAAGAATAAGACAAGCGACTATTCCTGTATCTCTAGAGAATTCAACATGGTATCAGAGCACTCTAGAGAGGAATTTTAAAACCTTCTTACAGGTTACTCCAAATTAGCCAGAAATCCCTAATACCCAGACCTAAATCCCTAAATACCCAAAACCTGCCCACTGCTACAGACACTACCGACTTCTATTTTCTGGATTTCCTGGTCTAATGGGAGATATAACAGATTCTTCTGATTCTCGGCCTCTTGTATCTCTTCCAGCCAATTCCAATCATCATCATGATTTGATGAATGTCCAGTTGTTGCCAACTAAGCTTGATGGCACCAATTATCTGGCTTGGTCTCATTTTGTGAGATTATATATTACCGGTAAAGGTCGGATTGGATATTTGACTGGAGAGAAGAAGCAACCAGATAATACTGACCCAAAGTTCATAACATGGGTTGAAGAAGATGCTATGCTTAGATCATGGCTTCTCCAGGCTATGACCCCGGATATTAGTCTTGGCTATATGTGTCTCGACTCCGCTCATGCTATATGGGATGCGGTTTCTCAAACCTATTCTGAGGGAGGTTGTGATGCCCAGATTTATGAATTGAAACGTCGGATCCAAGCCACTACTCAGCAAGGTAAGACGTTGGAGACATATTTTAATTCACTCCAGGCTTTATGGCAGGAACTTGATTATTATCAGCCGTGCGACATGAAGTGCTCTAACGATACTGCTGCGTTGAAAAAACGGATCGAGAAGGAACGTACTTTTGAGTTCTTGGTTGGTCTTAATCCGGATTTGGATCAAGTGAGAACACAGGTGCTTGGAAAGGATCCTTTTCCCTCTTTGCGTGAAGCCTATGCATATGTGCGTACGCAAGCTCTCCGTCGATCTGCTATGGTTATACCACCCTCGTTAGAAGGGTCTGCCTTGATTTCTACAGCAAACCATTCGGTTTGGGCGCCACCGGTACATCAATCTAGTTCTTCAGCTGCTGTCTCATCTGGTAATGTTGCTAAGAGTTCGAAATCTGATGATAAGGATGCTTTGAAATGTGATTATTGTCATCAGACCAAGCATGTGAGAGAGCAATGTTTCAAGCTCAATGGTTATCCACCTTGGTGGCCTGGCAAGAAGGGTGAAAAAGCTGAAGGCAGCAAGGGAGGAGGTGGAAAAGGGGGCCGTTCCAGCTCCAGAGCCTATCACACATCTTCTAGTGATCAGAATGACCAATCTACCTCTCAACTCTCTTCTGCTCAAATGGAACAAATCGTTCAAGAGTGTGCTCGCTTGCTCTCTGATAAAGGATCTAAAGGGGCTTCCGGTTCCTTAGCCACCTCCTCAGGTAACTTTGGTTGTTGTCTTAGTGCATCTGGTAAGTCTTTCTCAGACTCTTGGATTATAGATACAGGGGCAACTGATCACATGACCTCTAAACTTGATTTCTTCTCTCGTTATTCATCCCCTAGTAAGACTTGTGTTACCACTGCCGATGGTTCACCCACTCCTGTGGTTGGTGAAGGCTCTGTTTTTCTTTCGAATTCTCTGTCCCTCTCAAATGTTCTCCATGTTCCTGGATTGTCTAACCATTTATTGTCAATAAGTCAGCTTACTAAATCTCTAAATTGCTTTGTTACCTTTTATGACACTCATTGTGTAATTCAGGATCAACGGACCGGGGCAACGATTGGTCGTGGTAGTGAGAAAGGGGGCCTTTATCTCTTGGATGACCCAGCTGGCTATACTAGTTCTCCCACAGTTCATGCTCTTCAGTCCGCTACTGACTCATCCAGGGACATTTGGTTATGGCACAAACGATTGGGACACCCATCATTTATCTATTTACAAAAATTGTTTCCTTCTTTATTGTCTTCGGTTGATCTTTCTCAATTTAAGTGTGAAATATGCGAACTTGCTAAGCACCACCGTGTTTCTTATCCATTAAGTATTAATAAAAGTTTTGCACCTTTTGCTCTTGTCCATAGTGATGTTTGGGGTCCTTCTCGTGTGTCAAATTTGTCCAATTCCAAATGGTTTGTCACATTCATTGACGATTATTCCAGACTTACTTGGGTTTATTTGATGACTGACAAAAGTGAGGTTTTCTCTATTTTTCAGTCCTTTCACCAAATGATCCATACACAATATAATTCTAAGATTAAAGTCTTCCGCTCAGATAATGGGGGTGAGTACATCAATTCTGGTCTCAAAACCTATTTTTCGGATCATGGCATTATTCATCAAAGATCTTGCAGCTATACCCCTCAGCAGAATGGAGTAGCTGAACGGAAAAATCGCCATCTTCTAGAAGTTGCTCGTTCCCTTCTTCTTTCCATGTCTGTACCAAAGTCTTATTGGGGGGAGGCTATTCTTACAGCTGCTTATTTGATCAATAGGATGCCTTCTCAAGTTCTCAAATTTCAAACTCCCCTTCAGGTGTTCACTGCTGCATGTTCTCCTTCTACTGTTAATCATCTTCCTCCTCGAGTGTTTGGTTGCATTAGTTTTGTGCATCTTCATCATAGTGGTAAGCTTGACCCTCATTCCCTCAAATGTATTTTTCTTGGCTACTCTGCCACTCAAAAAGGGTACAAATGTTATCATCCTCCGTCCAAAAAATTCTTTGTTACTAGAGATGTTACTTTTCATGAGGAACATGCTTATTTCTCTCATCTTAGTTCTGAGACTTCTCTTCAGGGGGAGAATATAAGTAGTGAAGATAAGTCTTATGGTGTGCCAATGTTTGAGTTGGAAAAAATTGAACAAAATGAAAGTGAAAAAATGATACTGGAAGAGAAGGCAATTCCTTGACTCTCCCACCTGTTGGTCATCGTATGTCACCATATGATTTGGTGTATACAAAAAGAGATAAGGTGCCCTTTCAGAGAAATGATCAATCTGCTGCCCCGGTGACAGGTAATTCAGAGGTAGAATTTGTTGAACCTTCTTGTTCTTTACTTGAAAATAACCCTATAAACTCTGTTCCTTCAATTGATAATGAATTACCTATTGCCTTAAGGAGACCACTTCGTTCTTGCCCATCAAAGTACAAATATCCTATCTCAAATTTCATGTCTTCTCATCGTCTCTCCCCATGTCTTAAATCATTTGCCTATCAGTTGTCTTTTGTATCTGTTCCTCAAACATTGCAGGATGCACTGGACAATCCAAGGTGGAAAGAGGCGATGGATGAGGAATTGAGAGCTCTACGAAAAAACTCTACTTGGGAGTTGGTGGAGTTGCCAAGGGGGAAGAAGGTTGTTGGTTGCAAATGGGTGTTCACAATAAAACATAAGGCAGATGGCTCTGTTGACAGATACAAGGCAAGGTTGGTGGCAAAAGGGTATACTCAAACCTATGGGATAGATTACCAAGACACATTTGCTCCAGTTGCAAAGATGAACACAATTCGGGTCCTTTTATCTTTAGCAGCTAACTTGGGGTGGACTCTTCAACAATTTGATGTGAAGAATGCTTTCCTCCATGGAGACTTAGAGGAGGAAGTATACATGGACATGCCTCCAGGTATAGATGAGACCTCTCAAGGAAAAGTATGCAGATTAAGAAAATCATTGTATGGCCTGAAACAGTCTCCTAGGGCATGGTTTGGTAGATTCTCTCAAGCTATGAAAAAGTATGGATATCGTCCTAGTCAAGCAGATCATACATTGTTCCTACAACATTCTCGGGATGGTAGGATTACTATTGTTATTGTTTATGTAGATGATATCATTATGACAGGGGACGATATAGAGGAGATCAGTAAGCTGAAAATACAATTGGCCAAGGAATTTGATATCAAAGACTTGGGGACACTACGATATTTTTTAGGCATTGAAGTGGCACATTCAAAAGAAGGAATCTTTATCTCACAAAGAAAATATGTACTTGATCTTCTGACTGAAACTGGAATGTTAGCATGCAAGCCTGCGGACACTCCAATTGAACAAAATCATAGATTGGGAGAGCAAACTGATGATACACCTGTTGATAGGGGGAGATATCAAAGATTGGTAGGGAAGTTGATATATTTGGCTCATACAAGACCAGATATAGCTTATGCAGTAAGTGTCGTCAGTCAATTCATGCACGAGCCACGTGAGGTCCACATGCAGGTAGTTGAAAGGATACTTAGATACTTGAAATCAGCACCTGGTAAAGGCCTTTTATTTTCAAAGCATGATAACTTTGCTATAGAGGCTTATACAGATGCAGATTGGGCTGGTTCAGTTTCAGACCGGAGATCAACCACGGGATATTGCACGTTTGTGGGTGGCAATCTAGTCACTTGGCGTAGTAAAAAGCAATCAGTTGTTGCTAGATCTAGTGCTGAGGCTGAGTTCAGGGCTATGGCCCATGGTGTGTGCGAATTATTATGGTTGAAAATTTTATTTCGAGATTTGAGGATTACTATTCAAGGTCCTATGAGATTATTTTGTGACAATAAAGCAGCCATTAGTATTGCTCACAACCCTGTACAACATGATAGAACCAAACATATTGAGATTGACAGACACTTCATCAAGGAGAAATTATCACAAGGATTGATTTGCACGCCTTATGTGAAAACCAATGATCAACTTGCTGATATTCTTACTAAGGGAGTTTCTAGCAAGGTGTTTGAGTCTTCTTTAGCCAAGCTGGGAATTCAAGATATCTATTCTCCAGCTTGAGGGGGAGTGTTGACTTGTATATACTTAATTGTACATAATAGCAGATTAGCATAGTTAGAGGCTTCTTCATAGGAGTTGACTTTTAGCCTTTATTTTCTTTCCATACTTGTAATTGGCTGTTCACTATTTAATCCTCCTTTTGGGAGAAGAATAAGACAAGCGACTATTCCTGTATCTCTAGAGAATTCAACAATTCATAGCATTGATTCTCCAAATCTGAATCAATTAATCTCAGATGATGAACATGTCTCTGGAAGAAATGGCAGTGGCACTAGTCAAGGGTCAACTCCAAGCAATACACCAGTGAAGCTGAGAAGTTTGGAGGACATTTATGCAAGATGTCACATGACCATCATTGAACCTGAAACTTACTATGAAGCTGTTGAAGACAAAGCATGGAAGGAAGCAATGGATGCTGAGATAGAAACTATTGAAAAGAATGGAACTTGGGAGCTAGTGGAAAGGCCTACAGATAAACCAGTCATAGGAGTCAAATGGGTGTTCAAAACCAAGCTGAATCTTGATGGGACAGTTCAAAAACACAAGGCTAGGCTTGTGGCTAAAGGGTATGCTCAAAAACCTGGTATTGATTATAATGAAACCTTTGCCCCGGTGGCAAGGTTAGATACAATCAAAACTTTGATTGCACTTGCAGCACAAAAGGGTTGGAAGTTGTTTCAATTAGATGTTAAGTCAACCTTCTTGAATGGAGTACTTGAGGAGGAGGTTTATACTGAGCAACCAGAGGGGTTTGAAGTGAAAACAGCAAGTCATAAGGTCTATAAATTAAAGAAGGCCCTCTATGGTTTGAAGCAGGCTCCCAGAGCCTGGTACAGTGAAATAAACACCTATCTAACTAGCTGCAATTTTAAAAGAAGCACCAGTGAGGCCACCTTATATACCAGAACTGATGAAGAAGGAAAACTGATCATTGTCTCTATATATGTTGATGATATAGTTTATAGTGGAAACAGTAATGCTTTGCTCAGTGAGTTTAAAAGGGACATGATGCAAAAGTATGAAATGACTGATTTAGGACTCCTACATCATTTCTTGGGAATGGGAGTTCTACAAACTGAAAATGGAGTGTTTATTCATCAAAGCAAGTATGCAAAGTCCTTGCTTGTGAAATTTGGTCTCGAGGATTGTAAGTCAGTAACAATTCCTCTACCCACTGGTGAAAGATTAAAGAAAGTTGATGGAAGTGATTTGGCTGATGAAGGTTTGTTTAGAAAAATTGTTGGCAGCCTGTTGTATCTGACTGCAACCAGGCCTGATATAATGTTTGCAGCCAGTTTGTTATCAAGATTCATGCACAGCCCCACAAAGAAGCACATGGGAATTGCAAAAAGGGTTCTTAGATACATTCAAGGCACTCTCAGCTATGGCATTGAATTTACAAGGGATAATAATGCTGTTCTGGTTGGCTTTTGTGACTCTGATTGGGCTGGCAGTGAAGATGACAGTAGAAGCACATCTGGATATGCATTCAGTTTTGGTAGTGGAGTTTTTTCATGGGCTTCAGTCAAGCAAAACACAGTTGCATTGTCAACTGCAGAAGCTGAATACGTTTCAGCAGCTGAGGCAACAGCTCAAGCTATCTGGCTAAGGTTTGTGTTGGATGATTTTGGTGAAATGCAATCTGATGCAACACCATTGTTTTGTGACAACATGTCAGCAATATCAATGGTCAAAAATCCTGTTTTCCATCAGAAAACAAGGCACATAAACCGAAGGTATCATTTCATAAGGGAAGCTTTACAAGAAGGGGTGATTGATATAAAATTCTGCAGAAGTGAAGAACAGTTGGCAGATATTTTTACAAAAGCTCTGCCCAAAGATCGATTCAATTATTTGAGGTTGAAGCTTGGAGTTAAACCAGTAAGCAGCTTAGGAGAGGCTGTTGAGAGTTAAGCTGCATACTAGTTTTGAATCAAGCTGCAGATGTTAATCCTGCAGATTGACAATGAATAGGATGATGAAATCGAAGGAACTGAAGAACTTTCCTTTTATAGTAATAGCTGTTATAGGATATGTCCAACAGCTAGTTTTCTTACTATTTTAGGAAATTTTACAGCTGTCATTCTTAGCTGTCTTAGTCCTTTATGCTGTAACAATTTCTATCCTAGGTGTAAGAATCGTAGCCTCCAATGACCTTGAATGGCTGGAGATGAGTCCTTGTATCCTAGTTTTTAGGATTTGTTTTTGGCAGCTTGTGTCATGCTTATATTGTGTTTTTTTTGGCTCTGATGCAAAAGAAGAAATACAGACAAAAAGCATTCTCATTCTCTCTGAGTTTTCTCTCCTCTGCATACGTTGCATATACTGGTTCTATTGGTTTCTGTGAATTAGGCACTAAAACCAGCAAACAAAATACCAAACTCTAACAGGTGGTTCCCTCCTTCTTGCCTTTTATCTTCTTCGTTATATTTTTTATTTTCTAATTCTTCTGAATATGATCTCTCCTCCTGCTTTTCGTTTTAGTTTTGTTGTTGATACTGGACATTGTTCTATGTTGAATTTTCTTTTGAATCTTTATGTTTCAATTTCACACTGTACTGAGAATATGACTTAACCATTTTGATATATTATATATACACACACAAATATACATTGCTAATGGAAATCTTTGCTGTTTGCAGTTTCTGTAAAACTATTGAAATGGCCACTGAAGATGGGAAGAGCTTCGTAAAGAGAGACACTCTCAAAAAAATAGAAGCAAAGATTCAAACTTTGTGGAAAGAACATGACGTTTACAGGGCCGAATCTCGCGAAAAGCCTCCTAAGCCAGGGGAGAAGTTCTTTGGAAACTTCCCGTTCCCTTACATGAATGGCTTTTTGCATCTTGGACATGCATTCTCACTCTCAAAGCTAGAGTTTTCTGCACGTTGTCATAAACTAAGAGGTGCAAATGTGCTCTTCCCTTTCGGTTTCCATGGAACCGGAATGCCCATCAAAGCCTCTGCTGATAAAGTTGCACAAGAGATCCAACAGTTTGGACACCCGCCTGTCTTTCCCATCAACGAAGAGGATCAAGTGGACCAAGAAGAAGTTGAAGATGCAAATGCAAGTGCACCTCTGGAAACTAAGTTCAAGGGAAAGAAGTCCAAGGTTGCATGAAAATCAAGCGGACAAGCGTACCAGTGGGAAATTATGCGTAGTCTTGGCCTTTCTGACAGTGAGATATTCAAATTCTGCGAACCATATGAGTGGTTGAACTTCTTCCCTCCATTGGCAATGGAAGACCACAAGGCTTTTGGCTTGGCATTTGACTGGAGCCGTTCCTTTATTACTACAGACAGGAACCCGTATTTTGATAAGTTTGTGAGGTGGCAGATGCGGAAATTGAAAGACAAGGATAAGATTGTCAAAGCGAAACGTTACACCATCTACTCTCCAATGGACGGGCAGCCATGTGCAGATCATGATAGGGCAATTGGCGAAGGAGTTCAGCCCCAAGAATATACTATCATCAAAATGGAGGTGGCGATACCTTTTCCTTCTAAGTTGGGAGTGTTGGAGGGGAGAAAAGTGTTCCTTGCTGCTGTTGAAATATAAGTGGTGAGCTGATGAGAGTGTGATTAAAGTCCCTAAGCTGAAATGGTGTATTCACTTAGTCTCTAAAATAGGCAAGTGTGAGGCGTCAGTTAGTGTTAAGTGGCTATAGCCACGTGTAAAGATCTTAGAAGGCAGTTTTGGATGTAAGGCTGTGATTCTCAAGTGATGTAAGAGAATCCAGCTATTTCTCTTACGGTCATATAGCACACACTGTGCTTGCCCGAAAGTTTCAGAGCATACAATACAAAAAATACAGAAGTTTTGTTTTAGCTAAGCTCTCGGTTTTCTCTTGCATATTGTTTTTCTTCTCTTCTTCAAAACCTATACAAAACTCTAACATGGTATCAGAGCCAGGTTCGGTGTCTTGATCTGGGCGTAAAACTGTGAAGGTCACTGAGCTAAAATCGAAGCTCAGCTGAGCATCGGAGAAGAGAAGCAAGCTGCTGAGATTCAGACCAAACGATGGCTGGATCTGGAAGTTCTGAGGTACGAACTCCGATCTTTTCCGGTGAGAACTACGAGTTCTGGAGGATCAAGATGGTGACAATCTTCAAATCTCTTGGGCTGTGGGGTCTGGTAGAAAAGGGGATTCCAGTCTCTGATTCGAAGATGAAGACCAAGAAAGTTGAAGAATCATCGGAGGAAGAAGCTGAAGCAGAGATGTGTGCTGTGCTCATAAAGGATGCAAAGGCACTGAGCATCATACAAAACGCTGTCTCTGACCAGATCTTCCCTCGGATTGCAAATGCCGATTCAACAAAAATGGCTTGGACTCTGCTCTACAGTGAATATCATGGAGGTGATCAGGTTAGATCTGTAAAGCTTCAGAATCTTAGACGAGAATTTGAGTATATGAGGATGCGTGAAGGTGAACAACTTACTGCATATCTTACTCGATTAAATGAATTGATAAATCAAATGAAAACATTTGGAGAGGTGTTATCAAACGAGAGGCTAGTTCAAAAGGTGTTAATCAGTCTTAGTAGAGTTTATGATCCCATCTGTTTGGTGATTGAAAATACAAAGAGTTTGGAGACCATTGAATTGCAGGAGGTTATTGCAATATTGAAGAGTCAAGAGCAACGTTTTGACATGCATAATGTGGACATAGCTGAGAAAGCATTTGGTTCTTTCTCAATCGATCAAAAGGGGCAGAACAAGAATAATGCTCAGTTTGGTTCTACCAAGTCTCAGAAGAGTTGGAAGCCTAACAACAAACCATGGGAGTCTAGACAGAAGCCACAGCAAGCTGGCGCTGGACAGACTTCAAATGGATCACATTCTGTGCAGCAAGATGGGGTGAAGCCTCAATGCAAAGTCTGCTCTAAATTTCACTATGGAGAATGCAGATATAAGGGTCAATCCAAGTGCTATAAGTGTGATAGATTTGGACATTGGGCCAGAGACTGCACTGCAAACAAAGGAGGACAGAAAGAAAATAATGCAAGCCAAGTAGAAGTAAGAGGGAATCTGTTTTTTGCAAACTGTGCAATTTCAGAAAGGGTGAAAATGGAGAATGGTATGTAGACAGTGGCTGCAGTAACCACATGACTGGGAAGAAGGAGCTGTTAATTGACATAAACTCAAAAGTCACAGGCAAGGTGCAAATGCCAACAGGGGAGCTTGTAAGTATAGCCGGCATGGGCACTTTGGTGCTTGACACAAACTCTGGTGCAAAGTATATCAGAGAGGTCATGTATTTGCCTGGTTTGAGAGAAAATCTCTTGAGTGTGGGCCAAATGGATGAACATGGTTATTATTTGGTATTTGGGAGCAGCATGTGCAGCATCTATGATAGTTCTTCTCTTGAGAACCTTGTTATGAAGGTGGAAATGAGAAAGAATAGATGTTATCCATTATCATTACCCTCAAATGATTTTGTTGCACTAAGAGCTGGTGTAGTCAACTCTACTTGGGTTTGGCATAAAAGAATGGGGCATTTACACTTGAAAGGCCTAAACCAACTCAAGGAAAAAGATATGGTACATGGGCTGCCACATTTGGAAACTGTAAATGGAGTGTGTGAAGGCTGCCAATTAGGAAAACAACACAGAGAGTGGTTTCCTAAAGATCAAGCATGGAGAGCTAGTACACCTCTTGAACTTATACACATGGACTTGTGTGGACCAATGCAAAACGAATCTCTAAGAGGTAACAAATATTTCATGTTACTCATAGATGATTTTACAAGGATGATTTGGGTCTACTTCTTGAGATACAAGTTGGATGCACTAAATTGTTTTCGAAAATTCAAGTCTATGGTGGAGTTGCAAAGTGGTTACAAAGTGAAATGTGTTCGAAGTGATAGAGGGGGTGAGTTCACTTCTAGTGAATTCAATAAACTATGTGAAGATGCAGGGATTCAAAGACAATTCTCCATGGCTTACACACCCCAGCAAAATGGAGTGGTAGAGAGAAAAAATAGGACTGTGGTAGAGATGGCTAAGGCTATGTTGCATGAGAAGGAGCTGCCCTATTATCTATGGGCAGAAGCTGTCCACACAGCAGTGTACATCTTGAATAGATGTCCTACTAAGGCTCTTAGGGACAAGACTCCTTTTGAGGCCTATAGCACCAGAAAACCAGGTGTTGCTCATTTAAAAGTGTTTGGCAGTGTGTGTTTTGTGCATAAACCAGAGGAGAATAGACAGAAATTGGATGCCAAAAGCACAAGGGGAGTTTTTGTTGGATATGCAACATGTGAGAAGGGTTATAGAGTGTTTGATCCTATCACTAGAAAACTACTCTTATCAAGGGATGTTGTATTTGATGAAGGAACAAGCTGGAATTGGAAAGAAGTGTCTGACAATTCTGTGGTTATGATGAACTTTGAGGAGCAGCCTAGAAATTCTCAAGTGGATTCGTTTGAGACACCTATAGGGCCTCAAAATTCTGGTTTCACTGCTGGAAACTCAGCAGCTTCCTATGGAGAATCAAGCAAGGAAAGCAGTAGGTTGGAAGATACTCAGACCTTCGATCATACACCATTGAAATGGAGGAAGTTGGATGACATTTTGGCACAATGCAACCTGTGCACAATGGAGCCTGAGAAGTTTGAAGAAGCTGTGAAGGAGGAATCATGGTTGAAGGCAATGAAAGATGAGTTGAATATGATAGAAAAGAATAAGACATGGGAACTTGTTGACAGACCTATGGAAAAACCAGTTATTGGAGTTAAATGGGTGTTTAAAACTAAGCTAAATTTGGATGGCTCAGTGCAGAAGAATAAAGCAAGACTGGTGGCCAAGGGATACTCACAAAAACCAGGGGTGGACTACAATGAAACGTTTGCACCAGTGGCTAGATTAGACACTATTCGAACCTTGATTGCCCTTGCAGCTGAGAAGGGTTGGCAGCTGTACCAATTGGATGTCAAGTCAGCTTTTCTAAATGGTATTTTAGAGGAAGAAGTGTATGTAGACCAGCCGGAAGGATTTGTGGTAAAAGGAAGTGAAAGCAAGGTTTACAAACTACACAAAGCTCTATATGGCTTGAAACAGGCGCCAAGAGCTTGGTATAGTGAAATTGATGGTTATTTTGCTGAGTGTGGATTTACAAAGAGTCAAAGTGAAGCTACACTTTATGTCAAAGCAAGAGGTGCAGAAAATATCCTGATAGTTTCCATTTATGTAGATGATATAGTCTACACTGGAAATGATCATGAAATGCTAGAAGATTTCAAGAAGGACATGAAGGAGAAGTATGAAATGACTGATCTGGGACTCTTGCATCACTTCTTGGGAATGGGAGTCATTCAAACACCAACAAGCATATTCATTCATCAGAAGAAATATGCAACAACTCTGTTAAACAGATTTGGTTTGAGTGAGTGTAAACCGGTGTCTATTCCACTAGTTACCTCAGAGAAACTAAGTAAGGATGATGGGAGTGGTTTGGCAAGTGAAGAGCAATATAGAAGGATTGTTGGGAGTCTGTTGTATCTCACAGCTACTAGACCCGACATTATGTTTGCAGCTAGTTTGCTTGCAAGGTTTATGCATTGTCCCACTAGCAAACACCTTGGAACAGCAAAACGTGTCCTTAGATATGTAAAAGGAACCTTGGATTATGGTCTGGAGTATGTGAAAGGAAAAGGGGCAGTTCTAATTGGCTATTGTGACAGCGGTTGGAGTGGCTCAGTGGATGATAGCAAGAGCACATCTGGATACGCTTTTTCTTTTGGGAGTGGAGTGTTTGCTTGGGCCTCAGTCAAGCAAAATTGTGTTGCACTCTCTACTGCAGAAGCTGAATACATCAGTGCCTCTGAAGCAACAACACAAGCTATTTGGTTGAGATTTGTCCTAGAAGACTTTGGAGAACTTCAAACAGAAGCTACACCTCTCCACTGTGACAACATTTCAGCCATTGCCATTACAAGGAATCCTGTGTTTCATCAGAAAACAAAACATATCAATCGGAGGTATCATTTTATTAAAGATGCTTTGCAAGAAGGAACTGTGGATCTGATTTATTGTCCCACAAATGAGCAACTAGCAGACATTTTTACTAAGGCATTGGCTAAGGATCGTTTCTGCTATCTCAGAGAGAAACTTGGTGTGAAATCAGCTCACAACTTAAAGGGGAGTGTTGAAATATAAGTGGTGAGCTGATGAGAGTGTGATTAAAGTCCCTAAGCTGAAATGGTGTATTCACTTAGTCTCTAAAATAGGCAAGTGTGAGGCGTCAGTTAGTGTTAAGTGGCTATAGCCATGTGTAAAGATCTTAGAAGGCAGTTTTGGATGTAAGGCTGTGATTCTCAAGTGATGTAAGAGAATCCAGCTATTTCTCTTACGGTCATATAGCACACACTGTGCTTGCCCGAAAGTTTCAGAGCATACAATACAAAAAATACAGAAGTTTTGTTTTAGCTAAGCTCTCGGTTTTCTCTTGCATATTGTTTTTCTCTTCTTCTTCAAAACCTATACAAAACTCTAACAGCTGCAGCAACATTGAGACCTGAGACCATGTATGGACAAACAAATGCATGGGTATTGCCCAATGGGAGGTATGGAGCCTTTGAAGTCAATGAAACAGATGTATTTATTCTTACGCAGAGAGCAGCACGTAATCTTGCTTATCAGGGGTTCTCTAGGATACCTGAGAAACCTTCCTGCTTGATTGAACTAACTGGTTACGATTTGATTGGCCTTCCATTGAAGTCACCGCTTGCACACCATCAGATTATTTATGCCCTTCCTATGTTAACCATCGATGCAGACAAAGGGACTGGGATTGTGACTAGTGTACCTGGGGATGCTCCTGATGATTATATGGCCCTGCATGATTTAAAATCGAAACCAGCTTTTAGAACCAAATATGGTGTGAAGGATGAATGGGTTATGCCCTTTAAGATTGTACCGATCATCAGTATTCCGGAATTTGGAGATAAGGCTGCGGAGAAGGTCTGTGGGGATCTCAAGATCAAAAGCCAGAATGAGAAAGACAAGCTAGCAGAAGCCAAGAGGTTGACATACTTGAAAGGGTTTACAGAAGGAACACTGCTCGTGGGAGAATTTGCAGGAAGGAGAGTCCAGGAGGCAAAATCGTGGATAAGGAGCAAACTAATGGAGGTAGGAAATGCAATCATGTATAGTGAACCGGAGAAGCACGTAGTGTCACGGTCAGGTGATGAATGAGTTGTGGCTCAAACAGAGCAATGGTACATCTCTTATGGTGAAGCTGAATGGAAAAAATTGGCTGAGGAATGCTTGTCGAGCATGAACTTGTACTCTGACGTGACACGACATGGATTTGAACACACGTTAAGTTGGTTGAATCAGTGGGCTTGTTCACGATCGTTTGGGCTTGGAACACGTATTCCCTGGGATGAAAATTACTTGGTCGAGTCGTTGTCTGATTCAACCCTTTACATGGCTTATTACACCATTGCTCACTTTTTACACGATGGAGACATGTATGGGGATTCCAACACATCTGGGGTTATACCTGAACAAATGACCGATGAGGTATGGGATTTTATCTTTTGTGATGGGCCCTTTCCAAAATCATCTGACGTATCATCATCAATTCTGAATAAGATGAAGCAGGAGTTCGAATATTGGTATCCATTTGATCTTCGAGTGTCTGGTAAGGATCTCATCCAGAATCATTTTGCATTTTGCATTTACAACCACACGGCAATTATGCCCAAGAAGCATTGGCCTCGTGGGTATAGATGTAATGGGCACCTCATGCTCAATTCTAAGAAGATGTCCAAGTCCACAGGGAATTTTTTGACATTACGGCAGGCAATAGAGGAATATTCTGCTGATGCCACACGAATGGATTTGGCCGATGCCGGTGATGGTGTTGATGATGCAAATTTTGTATTTGACACTGCAAATGCTGCCATCGGACGACTCACTAAAGAGATTGCATGGATGGAGAAGAATTTGAGTGCAGACTCTTTGAGAAGAGGTTGTCCTTCTACTTTTGCGGACCATGTCTTTTGAATGAAATAAATATCGCTGCGAAAAGGACTGAGCAGAAACTACCAGTCTTGCATGTTCCGAGAAGCCCTTATCACTGGATTTTATGGTCTTCAAGATGCCAGGGATTGGTACGAGCTTTCATGTCGTGCTCAGGACATGAATCGAGATTTGGTGTGGCATTATATGGATGTAGAGACGCGCATGGTTGCTCCAATCTGTCCACACTATGCTGAATATGTGTGGAGGGAGGTTTTGAAGAAGGATGGATTTGTAGTAAGCGCAGGCTGGCCTGCATCTGATGCTCCAGATCTAATCCTCCAAAGTGCCAATAACTATTTGAAAAAGTCGATTGATGTAATGAGGAAGAAGCTTAGAAAGCACCAGCCAAATTCTAAGAAAGCCGGTAATAATGGTGCTCCAATTTCATCTTTGGTAGAAGGGAAGAAGCTAATAGGCCTGATATATGTGAAGAAGCAATTTGATGAGTGGAAGGCAGATTGCTTAAGGATACTTCAGAATAACTTCAACATAGAGACTCGTACTTTTGCTCCGGACAGGGTGATATTGGAGGCACTGCAGAGTAGTTCTCTTGGACAGGCTAAAGATTTTAGACAAATCCAGAATCTTTGCATGCCTTTCGTGAAGTCGAAGAAGAATGAGGCAGTTCAACTTGGGGCTCAGGCCTTAGATTTGAAGTTACCATTTGGAGAGATTGAGGTACTTAAAGATAACTTAGACTTGATTAAGAGACAACTGGATCTTGAAGAGGTAGAAGTTTTGTCTGCTGCCAACCCTGATGATCGTGCAAAAGTTGGTCCTCATGTTAAACAGATAGAGCAGAATCCTCCATTCCCTGGAAGCCCAACTACCATCTTCTTGACCCGGTAATTGTAATCCTTTTGGTACTTATCTGCAATTTGTATCAGAACTGAAACCCACTCCATGCCCAACTTGGTCCTCTCTAGTTTGGATGTCCTCTTATTTCCTTTTCTCTATTGTAATTATGGATCTGAATGTTTACTTTTGCTTATTTTTTAAATTCATCTTTCACTGCAGCTAAGGATCAACTACCCCATGACCACTGACTGCTCCACATTTTGGTGAGAATCCTTTATTTTTTATTCGAGTTTGTATTTCGGTGTTTGGGCTTGAATCTATCTTGTTGTTGACAGAAAGTTAGGTTGTTCAAACCACCTAAATGAAAGTTTCAATTCGGTTGATTACTGTTTAGTTTATGGTTCAGATTTGGAGTTGTGTGTAAAACTCATTCTTTTCTGCATTTTCTATCTTGTATCATTTTAAGGATTTTGTTTGGTATTTTCATGTTTTGGGGCTAATCCTTATTCTTGGTTTTGGAGACCTAACAAATGTGACAAATAGATAAGGAAACCGTGATTAATTTAAGGGTGGTGTGCAAAACCAAGTTCTTCATTGTTAAGGAAATGACATCTTAATTATCTGTATATCCCTTTTACAAATAGGGAAACACGTCTTGAAGTTTTGTTTTCTGGAGCTGAGTGTGGCTTCCTTGTTGTCTTGAATGAAGCTTGAATTTCTTCATTTAATTATAATGACTGGATCTTTGAGTAAGGTTTCTGTTTTCCTAGTATTAATTAGTTATTCTTTATGCTTTTTGTAATTGCTATAGTAGTAATGGTTATTTTTACAGTACCTGGGTTGGCAAATTAGAAACAGAACTTGTTGTCGGGCACCAGTTCCTTCATGATCAAAACTTGATATCTGTATCAAACGGTCTCCAACTTTCCTTCGTTAAGTTTGTCTTAGGCCGCACTAGTGGTAATATTGGCATTGGGATTGGCTGCTGCTTGTGATCTGCACTTCATGCATTCTCCAATTTGTCTGCATTTGTTCTTTGCTTTTATTGATTTCTGGCCTACTGTAATAATATCAGAGACTGAATCCAAGCGAGTGAATGAACGAGTCAGGGGTTTGTAAAGAGCATAGGACTGTAAAAAACACTACCCGGAATAGGAGTCTTGTACAACTTTTGGTGTTTGATCTTATCATTTCTATTTGGTGCTTATCTCTCTTTGTATCAAAACATATGTGGTTGGTTCTGCATTATCATTTGAGGTGCTTTTACTGCATGAGTCGTGCATTGTTTAGAATTGGACTGTCTATAGCAAGCTTACCCTTTTTTATTTTTTTAAATAAAAAAAAAAGAAAAAAAAAAAAAAAAAAAAAAAAAAGATAACAAGGGCAGGGCAAGCTTCATACATAATTATATGACCAATACTGCTCTCTGTATGCAGGCATGTTCGATATGATAGTCATTTTGATGAAGGAGTGACGACTCAAATGGCATTCTAAGTACAGACAGACAGACAGACATGGAGACGTGCACAAGAAGAATACATATAATGCATGCTCCTGGGGCAGAAAAATGAAAGACATTGAGAAATAGAATTGTTTATTTGAAGGATTAGTAATGCAGTTTTCTTTCTTTTTCCTTTTGAGAAATAGAATTGTTTAGGAACCAAGTATTGTCTATCTGGAGACATAAAGTTAGAAACCAATTAAGTTATATATATGGTTGCCTGAGTAGTTTTTATATATCATGTAAAAGAAGCTATATATAAAATGTTTTTTTTAATATATATATATATGAACCACTAAGTCCGATGCTTTAACTCATTAGTGGGATATATATGCTTTTACTCATATATATAAAACTTTGTTGTTATTTGAGTTTTAAGTCATAAAGTAGGAAAAGAAAAAGCAAAGAAAATAAAAAACAGATTTTATGTTCCAAAGAAAGGATAAAACATTTCTCAACTTTTTCTAGCCCCAAGATGATTGCAACATGTTGCAGATGTGTTACAGAAGTTGTTTTGGTCATTAGATGACTTTAAAACCCAGAAAATAGCAAAAGAGGTTATTATGTTCTTATTTTGGTCAAAATCAAAATTTTGCCTCTTTTCCTTTTTTGATGTTTTTCAGGTAAATTTGAAGCCACCAACATGTTTAGAATGGTTATTATGATGATTTGAAACAGGTTTGGGGGTCTCAAGTGGTTTACATGACGTTTTAGGAAGATTTGAAGCTTAAAAAGTGGTCTAAAACCCAAAAAAGGCTACTGCTCTTTACACAGAAATATGAAGATTTTTTGTCACAAAAAGATTTTAGCGACGACTGTTCATCAGATTTTTCGTCGATAAAGGTTTTCAGCGACGGTGTTCATCAGATTTTTCGTCGCTAAAGGCCAATTTTCCAGAATTTTCTGATTTAATTCCAAATCAATTACGATCCATTCCATTCGCGATCAGAGGTTTCTAAGGGCTATTCCAGGTGTTTCCTCTTCCTTTTGATGAAATTTCTTTATTCCTAAGCAATTTGGGCTCATAAATTCACTCATATTTGTTTGCAAAATCACAAAATTCCTTTAACTTTTGAAAAAATAAAAATTTGTTAAAGCTTTTACTTTCTCTTACTAATAGTAATGTATATGTGATGTTTGATCATATTTCTTTAACTAAAGTGTTGCCATGAAAATTTATGCATCATAATTATAGCACTTTACATAGCCATGCTTTAAGTATTTTGATGGACAAGGTAGCTATACTTGGATGATTGTGGAGAAATAGTGGAGACTACCATTGTGAGATACTTAAGCCAAATTGCCATTTATTGAGAGAGTATTTGAGAGAGTAATCAATTCAAAAGCCTTACTACCAAATTATTTATTGAATTACTATTATCCTAATATAAAATGACCCAAAAGGATATATAATTTTAATAAATACAACATACTCACCATAACCCTAATCAGACGTAGAGAAGTTGTAATTGAAGTAAATTGTGCAAAATATATATATATATATATATATATTAATCGAGTATGTAAGAAAGTATATTATACGAGAGTATATCTCATTCATGAAAATATGAGTCAAAACAATTTTGGATGAATCATCCAGTACTATCTGAATATCCTAATTAATCTAGTGGTTGAGGATGTTGAGGAGGGAAACTCTGGTTTTGATCAAACACCTTGAAAGGTGTTCAAGTGACTCTTCTAGATCTTGTATGGACAACTCTAAATTGTGCGGTTGGGTTTGTGTATTTTCAATAATATTATCAGGTTCTTTTGTCATGTGATCAACAATTGAGTGCAATGAATGTTGCATCCACCATTGCAAATTCATTTGCATATGTTTCTTCTTCGTCTTCTTCTTGTTTACATTCTACAACTCTTTTATGGTGAATCAAGTTGGAGACTAGTTGCAATCCACTTGGCTTCGATTGTGTCTTGGGACTCGAGATAAAAGAAAACATGGATTACGATTGGTATTAGGGTGATGTGTGATAGAGTGTATTAGGGTGTATCGATGGTATTTTTGGTAGTTAAATATGATGCACTTAGTTAATTTTACATTTTGATTAAAATATTAGGTGTACTTAGGTTATAGAGTATACAAGTTAATTTTAAAGTTCGTTTAGCAATATTCTATTTTGAAAGTGATTTTTTCACATTTTTTAAAAATTAGATTTGTTATTGATAGACGAGTGTTATTCGATCGGCCTTTATTTATTTATTTATTTATTTATTTTTGCGTATGCAAAAACATAGATTCCGAAGGTTTTAACAAGACCATTGTATCGTGTCACTCTTTATATGCCTTTGGTTCTATGAATGAATTCTCTTTCCAAAAAAAATTTCTTCTCCTCTCTTTTTTTATTTATATTTTTTTAATATTTCATCTAGTCTTTCTTGCTTTACTAGTCAAACATTTTCAAATCTTCTAAATTTATAACACGATGATGAATCTCATATATTCTAACAATATCATCAATTGAGGACAATCTAAATGAAACAATAAATTTAATATTTGTATAATAGAAAAAGTTTCTTGACAAATATTCAACTTTTTCTACTATACTTTGTATAAACAGCCTCACATATACTTTTTCTACTATACAAATATTCAACTTATTGTTTCATTTAAATTAGCCTCTTGGCACACATTTTTATTTTTTATTATTATGAAAATTAATAAATATAAATATATATAAAATTTTATGTGTTTTCAATTTAAAATAAATGGAGAAAAAGAAGGAAGAGAGATAGAGGGTCAAGAAAGTCCAAACATAAGCGTGGCCCATCCCCAATATGACATAAATCGACTGTTATTTTCCACACTACATGGTCAAGAATCATTGGACTAAACAGTCTTTTTCTTTTTTAGTTTTTTCGTCTCTCTTAAGCTCAATTCAATTCAATTCAACTTTGGCTGGCTGCTCAGAGACGGAGAGAGAGAGAGAGCCTAAAGAGATGAACTTTGATTAATTGGTGATTGACTTTGACACCATCCAATTCCTAGGTTCTCTCTCATCCTTCTCCACGGTTTCTTATCACCTTGAAACTGTTATATGCTAATTCTTGTATGCAGATTTTTTATAGGTCCTATGATTTGGGAATCTAATAAACACCAATTTGAGTTTTAGAAGGTCTGAAAAATACCCAATTTGTATTTTGTTCCTACCCTTATCTCATACATGGTGCTTCAATGCAAGAAATGAAATTTTCGAGGCAAACCCATTTCAGTTCCAGGTCTGATCTGTAAACTTTTACTGTCTTTGGTTGACCAGAAAAAAGACAAAATTTCTCCATTTTGGTTTTGAAAAGGAGGGTCTTGAAGGAGTTTCAAGGGTGGTCCACTTAAATTTTTCTTGCCAACTTTTATCTGATTGTTTGCTTTTGCTTCATAGCTTCGTGTATGTTGTGAATCGTGAATTATGCATATATAGAAATAGATTTCTAGCTCTGTATTGAATTTCTTGTTATTAGTTGAATCATCATGTCCTCTGAATCCTGTGCGTCGAGCTTGCTTCTGGCTCTGTCAGATGATGTGTTTTCTATTGTCACCTGGTCCCTCTCACCTAGAGATATAGGCAATCTCAGTCTATGCTGCCGTAGTTTGTATGCACTCATGGAGTCCGAAAAGGTGTGGCAAATCCAATGTGAATTGGTTGGAATTGTACCTCTTCAAGACCTTGTTCAGTGGCGTAAGGCCGTCTCATCATACAAGGCACTTTGCCGCTTTCTCTTTAATGTTCAGCCACTAATGGGAATATGGGTTCATCAGAATCCAGAGCTTGGCAATGTAGTCTATGTCATGCCAGGTTTTGTTTCTGTTGTTGGGTGCCGCATAATACCTCAAGAACTCGGGCCTTTAGGCATTGAAGACGGCCCTATTCTGTGGGCACCTGTATTTGAAATTATTTGTGATTTTGATGGCTCCACATCCTTTTTTCTACATGGAAGGGAGAAGGGACATGATTATGTGTATCCTGGTTTTGTGAAACCTGTTGGCAGGTCATGCAATGTGCTTTTGCTTGAGATCGAGCCTAGACTACATAAAAATCAGGGTAAATCATTGCATAGCAAGAGTTTTGTTCACGACTCAGATAAGGAGTTGTCAAGGAAGATTTGTAGGTCAAATAGTGGACTTTCAAGGTCGCAGCGGGTGTTTGGACAGAGTGAGACATTGGTGCCCTTCGGTCGATTGGCTTTCAGTGATAGAAGAAAATTACTTGATGTTATCACGAGCCAAATTCGTCTAAAGGTTCCTGATGCAGCAGTTGGGCCACTCTTTCCTCGGTTGAGGGATAATGAGGAGAACTTTCAGAAGGATATGGTGCTCTTATTGGAACGAAGATCAATGCTTATTCAAATGCATAAGCTTGGTGGAGGTCACATGGATTTGAAGGCAAGTAGTCTGCTGCCATCTGATCCCACTCAGCTGCAATTGAGTGAGATCAGAAAGGGTCTTGATCGGTTAAGTGGTTTTCAAAACTCGATTAATGAGGATGACGGTCACAGACAATGCAACAGGAGGAAAACTCTTAGCAAGTACTTTAGGGATAGCCTCAATCAGATCTTTGGGAAGTCGATCGCAACCACTGCAAACTCAAAGAATAGTTCTTCGAGTAGTGAGAATAAGCACGCATCCCTTGAGGATTTTCTGAGTTCAGGTGATACAATAGGATTGACTTTACATGCTTCGCATGTGAAGTTATCTTCTTATCGAGCATGGCCAAACATGCATGACAGTCGATTTGCCATCTACAGATTGCCCTTGCGGATCCCAACTGCGGAACAAGAATATGCTGGTTTATGGGGAGGGACTTTTGGTTGGCCTCCTGGGAAGTCGTCCAAAGACAAGCCTGGAAAGGCTCTCTTCTTTCTTTTGCTTTCTTATGAGGAGTGCCAGGGGCAACAACTTCTAATTGCAACCAAAATATTAGAGGGTACCCACTATGTTCTGCATCCTAATGGCTCAGCCATGTTTGTAGTTAATATCGATGAACCTTCATTCGATCCATTCCCTTGGGATACTGATGCAGATGCAGATTCCCTTGCTGTGAATGTTAAGCATGTTTTTAAAGGGGAGGGTATTGCAAATGGGTATGGGTTTAGGTATCCAGGCGCGAAACCGGGTTCTCTCTTTGTATTTGAAGATGGTCAACTTGCCTTCATTTGGAATGAGTCTAGGGCTGTCTTGACTTTGCAGAGGCTTAACTTGCAAGAGCTTTTGAAAAAAGGTGAAAGGGTGCCTGCGCTACCTCCGATTGCTAATTTTTCATATTTGACCAAGTCTTACTCAAATGTCTTTGCTGAGTTCCCAAACACCTCAACTTCTTGGGCGTCATCAAGGTATGCCTTATGCCTTGCCTCCATTGAAAATGCTTGTCCTAATTTGGGTCTTCCCCACTCCCCTAATTAATTACATAAATGTTGCCTCCTTACTTATATCGTTTGCTAAACTCTATTGATACAGGGAGGAGCAATCTGATCCCTAGGTGAACACAATAGATGAGGCCTTCTTGATACACATGAAGCCAAAGAAAAAGTAAGAATACAAAGAATTATTAAAGAGAAGATGCGGTGGCTCTGTAACTTCTCTTTTCTTCTGTATGATGGGATTTTGCTTGCTGTGGTGGGTGTTGAGGTTTTCAGCATGATTATCTCCTTATTTTAACTTTATTTTGTGGCATGAACAAAAAAGTATTGATTTCATCATGATTTATTAATCATCATTGAGATATGAAGGAAGCCAAGACGAAATAAAACTCAAGGTTGTTTGTTTTACGTGCTCAGATTAGAGGTTTAGAGTTTCTTAAAAAATAAAAAGAGAGAGAGAATATAGAGGTACAAGGAGGTTATAACATGAGATGTGTTTGTCCCCAAAGTTTCTTTCTTTCTTTTTTTTTGCAAAATAAAGGACTTTCTGACCTTTCTCAAACGTTTTTTCGCAAAATTTTCTTGTCATGGAACATATTAATACGGTCCTTGTATGTTTTTAGCACAAGCAAAAGCATCGTTCCTTATTCCTTCTAGTTCATTGTGTTGGAGTTTTCTTTGAATTCATGCTTTGTCTAGAGTGAAATTAGGTTGTTTGACAGCTCAAAAAGCTCTATGCTCTAACTCAACAGGCAAATGACATACATTTCCGTACACAAGTCTGTAAGGAGACATTCCAATGGGAGTTTGATTGCAGTACGATAAGCCCATAAACCATAAAGTGAGTCTTAAAGACCAGTCTTTCCTAAAGATATTTGAAAGATCCCCGTAACTAATTAATATTATACAAATTTATAAATAAACCCAATCCTAGACATGTATTTATAAAAAAACCTAAGCACTATTTGAACATAGAAACACACTCAAAATCGACCCCAAAGTCAATTTTTTGGGTGTGTTTATAAATGAGCTTTGAGTGTGTTTAATGATGGGTTTTGAGTGTGTTTATATGTTTAAATAGTACTTGTGTTTTTTTATAATTTCAACCCTCATTTTGGGTGTTTTAGTGAAACTCCCTTAATATTAATTAAAAAGGAGGATAATTAATGATTTTTTTTAATCGGAGTGATAATATATTATCGAGGCAAATTACATAAGAATTTGGAAAAAGCAAACATTGTTCAAAAGGATGAGGTGAGTGAATCTACACATAAGGGTTTGGTCGTTGGATTAACAGAGTAGTCTACTTTCTTTAAGCTAAAAGCAGTTAGAAGGAACCAAAACCCCTAATAATCAACCCCTCTCCTCTACATGCCAAAGTCCCATAAGCCACTACAAATCACAATCTTCAAAAAGAATATCACAAATAATATCAGGACGCTCCTCAAACCAAGATAAAGAATGTCTCACTGCTCCATTAGCAGTATACGAGTAAATAGATACAATCAAAGATACATCCGTAAGTGGATTCCCAAGTGTTGGACTTGTGTTGGGTTCATTCAACGTGTCGTTGGACTATACACACAGTGTGCCCCTTGAACGATGGGAACCATGTGCTTGAGCCGCATGCGGTTGGGATCAGCTAGCCATTGAGATCCCCAGGTCAGCTTTAAATCTGGTTTTTATTTATTTATTTATTTTAAATTTAAATCAACGACATATATTGATTTTTGAATGTTTTAAAAGTTATAAAAATTAAAAAATAATTTTAAAAAATCAATCAAGCCAACGCGAGGTTAGCAAGTGGCACAAATGCAAGTGACGTGGTCGAGTAAGTTATCTTCACACTTGATGACCGATGAATAAAACTTAAGCTTCCTTAATCACCTCACCCAAATCTTCTTCTCTCTATCTATTCAAGATAAGAATGTTATCATTAGAGTCATGGCATTGTACAGGGAATGTATTTTGATCTCAAGTTTCCAGTCCAACAATTTGAGCATCCAAGCACACATCCAATGATGAACAACTGTAAAGAATTCTCACCAGACAGGTGAGCTGCACTGAAAATAGCTGAGCTTATCAAAACTGCTGACTTCCATTTCATAGTGGACGAAATTGACCCTAGTAAAAATCACCTGTAAACAGTTTCTTCTAGCACGGGAGTGACAATGCAATATACAAGGACAGAAGCAGCTTTGGAGATGTTGCTGCTTACCAGGATTTCTTTGAGTACAGGGTTGTTTATAGCCTGCAATGATATCATGTAAAATAAATTACTTGAAGGAGGAACAGAGTTTCCATAAAACTGAACCGCTGATCTATGTATTTAGAGAAATATATATATAAGCTGTAATATTTGAGAAGAATTTGAAAAGGCAAAAACCATTTATAGGAAAACCTAGAACAGCTAGAAAATAAGCCAACTTCTTTGGAAGTTTCTTCTACTTGCATTAAGGGGTCAGATGATACACATTGTTGAAGCAACTGCTTAGAGTTATGGGTTAAATTGCATTGGAAAACATATCTATTGAAGAGGTCAAGAAACATAAAATTAGAGATATAGTATATCAAGATTGATTTGGGAAATTTCCAGTGACTTAGATTAGGCTTTTATCCCCTTATTCATTTCGTCTTGGGCCCTTTCAAAATATTCTACTTATTGTCTGATGCAGTTGTCATTTTATCTTAGATGCAAAATTCTTAATTCCAATTGTAAAAGCCTCTTCTAGCAAGCCCTATATGATTCTAAACTAGTTAAAATCAAACTGCATCGACTTACTCATAAATAGTGAAATCAAATGAAAATAATATCAGAAAAAAAAATATATATATATATATATATATATATATATATATTGAAAACATAACATTACATTATCTGAAAATTTTTATCAAGCACTGAATAATGTTAAGAGTATTAGCTGCAGAACCATCTCAGCAAACCAAGTCATTGTCAGTTTGTTCAGTTTTGGTTAGAGCATCTCCAGCGCTGACGGGCTAGGGGGGAAAGGCTGCCCGAGTTCACTCCAGCGCAGGGCCCGTAGCCCAGGTTGATGGCGGGTCCCACGAGCCCGAGGAAGCCCAAGGGCAAATCTTGCCCGGGCTGAAGCCCGAGTTGGTGACGTCAGCGCTGGCGTCAGCGTGACGCCAGCGCTGACGTCACCACTGACAGCTCCAACGGGCGGGCGCCACGTGGCGCGACGGGGACTCTCCGATGGAATTTTTCCAGAAATCCGACGGTCCTCGTTTTTTTGGCTAAAAAAATTGCAAAAAAAATCGAAAAAAATCGAAAAAAATCTGAATTTTTTTTAAAAAAATACCCAAAAATTCTGTATTTTTTCTCTATAAATACCTAACCATTTTATTTACTTTCCACACTAAAATCTTCATACAATTTCTTCTCCATCCCATATTTTTTACTCTTTACTCACATTATTCACTTTCCACACCAATTCTTCATACAAACTTTTCTCCTTCCAATTTTTTTGTTCATCTCCACTCACATTTTTCACTTCCACACCAATTCTCCATACAAACTCTTCTCCTTCCAATATTTTTTACTCTCTTTCTACTACTTTCCATTTGTATAAAAAAAAACAAATGGCATCTTCTATTGAAGTCGGAGGCTCGTGGTCAACGAATGAAGATATTGCGTTGTGTCAATCTTGGGTGAACATTAGTCATGACCCTATCACGGGTAATGAAATGAAGTTTCATCACATGTGGAGCAAAATTCATGGAGAATTTTGTCAAAGATCGGGTTCGATTCGGACCGAAATGGCGTTGTCTAGTAGATGGAAACTTCTTAATAAAGAGTTAGGGAAATGGAGGAATGCCTTGACAAAAGCAAAGGCGAACATTCAAAGCGGTCAAAATTTGACCGATGAGGTAAAATATTTATAATTGCCATTTTAATCAATTCAATGTCACTTTTTTTTTAATTGCATATTCCATTTGTTTTTCTTGCATAATTTTTTTTTCTTGGTGCACCTTTAATTTGTATATATTTTCTTGCATAATCAATTTTATTTTTGCATTTCAAAATAGTTTATATTTTCTTGCATAATAATTTTTGTTTCTTGCACTTCCAATTATTTATTTTTAATAGATGGTACAAGCACAAATGTGGTTCGGTGCCATGGGGCAAGGCAAAAAAAGTTTCGTGCATTTCCAATGTTGGGAAATTGTGAAGGATTGTTCGAGGTTCAAAATTATTCCCACCGGTCCGCCGGTTGTGATGAATGAGACGCCACTCCACGATTCAACATCAACCGATTCTCCATTGGACTCCCCAATGGAAACGGAGTCACCATTTGTTCCACGTCCGCCAAGACCTATTGGGAGAAAGGCGGCAAAGGCCAAGAGAGGGGCCACTTCGAGCAATGATTGTGTACAATTATTGGAGCAAATAGCTAAGAGCGCCACACTAAGAATCGAGAGAGACTTGAAAAGAGATGAAATGGACAAGGCACGAGAGGAAGCATATGCTCTCCAACAACAAATGGCACAAGAAAAATACATAGAGGATAGAGAGATGAAAATCATGGCTATGGATACGAGCCATATGTCTCCCGAAACAAAAGCTTATTGGAAGCTACGACGAAGAGATGTGATGAGGAAAAAACTTTTCAATGACGACGGACCTAGCAATACGGATTGGTTAAATGATGAAAACCATTAGGTTGTTGTATTGTTGTATTGTTGTATTATCCTTTAAGTTGTTGTATTGTTGTATTATCCTTTACTTTGTTGTATTGTTCCCTTATCCTTTTAATTTGTTGTATTGTTCCCTTATCCTTTTAATTTGTTGTATTGTTCCCTTATCCTTTAATTTGTTGAATTGTTCTCTTTTTATTCAATCAAAAAAGCCTTAAATTTTATTAAAAACATTTGAGCATCAAAACAAATATTAATTTAAAAAAACCTTCATTGATTGCAAACAACACACAAAACAAACCATACATAAAAGCATAATAATAAAAAGCATAATTCCAAAAAAAAAACCACACACAAAATAAAGCATAATTAAAAACAAAGCATAATTCCAAACAAAACACTAATCTTGACTTCATCCATTGTGATTGCCTTTGATCTCCCACAAGTGCTCGATCAAGTCACGTTGACGTGTCTCGTGAACATATGAAGATTGCATTTCTTGATACCGATCAATTATGGGGTTGTTGAATTGACCATCCCGAAGTATGGGTTCGGGCTCCAGTGGTAGTCCATTTGGTCCAATCGGCCTTTCATATATTCTTGTCAACGATGTGTTCATTGGATCGGGTTCAAACACCTCTTGAGCATCATAGTCATACTCATCCTCCACAATCATGTTGTGAAGGATGATGCAAGTCATCATAATACTCCGCAGCACCTCCTCATCTAGCATCCGAGCAGCACCTCTAATAATTGCCCAACGAGCTTGCAAGATACCGAAACACCTCTCCACGTCTTTCCTGTAACCTTCTTGAAAGGAAGCAAAGTTTCTTTCCTTCTCGGATTGGGGATTCGGAATTGTTTTCACGAATGTCGTCCACCTAGGATAAATTCCGTCGGAAAGGTAGTACGCACCAGAGTAAACGGTATTGTTGATTTGGTACGTGACCTGGGGGGAATGACCTCGCAATACCTCATCGAACACTGGGGATTGACCAAGGACATTGAGGTCATTCTGAGAACCGGCAACCCCGAAGAAGGCATGCCAAACCCAACAATCGAATGAAGCTACGGCCTCCAAAATTATACTTTTTTGGCCCTTCCGATTCCCGTACTCCCCTTGCCACGCAGTAGGGCAGTTCTTCCACTGCCAGTGCATACAATCGATGCTTCCAATCATTCCTGGGAAACCTCGGGCCTCGCCTTTTTGTAGAAGCCGTTGCAGGTCTCTTGGCGTTGGTTTGCGAAGGTACTCCCTCGTGTACAAATTTTCCACTGCATCACAAAATCTCACCAAGCACTCTAGGACAGTAGATTTTCCCATCCTTGCAATCTCATCCACCTGCTCTGCAGATGCCCCATAAGCAAGCATCCGCAAAGCAGCTGTCAGTTTTTGCTCCGGGATAAGACCTAAAGCTCCAACAGCATCATGCTTTTGAATGAAGTATGTGTCGTAATTACAAATATCATGCATGATTTTTTGGAACAAATGTGGTTGCATTCTATATCTTTCTCGAAACTTAGAAGCAGGATATAACGGATTTGGGATAAAATAATCCTCCATGAGATTCTTACCCCGAGACTCCCTACGTCTGTCCACATTCGGGGCACGAGGACGACGGTTTTGCCTTGATTGATCCATCATACACACCGCTGCTGCAAGCAGTAGTTCCTCTTCTTCATCGGCTTCCCGATCTTCTTCAGCACGTCTACGCCTTGTTTCTTCCCTTTCTTTCCGTTGCCTTTCCAACACCCTCAACAAGTTTGACATTGAGAGTAGAATGTGTTTTCTACAATCTGAGAAATGAAGGAATAGATAAGAGATGGTGTGAGAGGTTTGAAAATCAGGTCTAGTTTATAGACGGATTTAGAAGATAGAGATGACACGTGGCACAATTTGAGAGGATGAAAATCTTATCAAAAATCTGAGATTAAATTTTTTTTAAAATATCTGAAAATGTTATCTGACATTTGACACGTGGCACAATTGTAGAGGGTGAAAATCTAATCTGAAATCTGAGATTAAAATTTTTTTAAAATATCTGAAAATGTTATCTGACAGTTGACACGTGGCACAATTATAGAGAGTGAAAATCTTATCTGAAATCTGAGATTAAAATTTTTTAAAAATATCTGAAAATGTTATCTAACATTTGACACGTGGCACAATTTTAAAAGGAATTTTCTTTGAATAATTTTTATTAAAATCTAAAATACTAAAAATTAACTACGAAACTTTAAATGCCGTTTTGGAAGGCCAAACGACCTCAAAATGCCAAAATCCATCATACGTCACGGCGAAGCTGTGAGTTTGACGCGTGGCGTCGTTCCCTTTCCGAAATGGTATTTTGCGTCCTAATCGGAGCTCGGACGACAAATCTGCAAATTCCCACTACGTCCTTTTTCTAGCTCAAGCGATAAAATCTGACATTTGTTCTACATCAGACGTGACACAATTTTAGAGGGTGAAAATCTTATCCGAAAATTTAATTACAAAAGATTATCAACATTAATGGTTTAAACTATAAAAAAATAGAAAATAAAGTACAATGAATAGTAATTGCCTTAGACTTGCCCTAGACTTTGCCCTTGTGGGTGGAGCCACAAATGCAAAGGCTGACACTATTCACGTGAATAGTGGCAGCCCTTGCTTGCCCTTGCCCTAGACTTTGCCCTTGTGGGTGGAGATGCTCTTAGCAGAACCATTGTGAGCTGTTACAACAGCCTAGATTTAGTTTAGCCAAGGCTCTTTAAGATTTGTAGTGTGTAATGGTTAATGTCAATGAAAATCAGTCGCCTATACAATTTCATCTCTCAAATTCTCTATGCACTATGAATCATGACAAATGAAGGATACAACCTCCTTCCTACAACTCATCATCAATTACTATGAGGTCCTTGCATAACTCATCCATCATCAGATTGGTTGTATTATTCTCAAAAACCATTTAATTTAACATATTCGGATACCTAAATCATTGTACCTTCTATCATTTGTATGACACATTATAGAAGTGTGTGTTCTAATGCCTAAAGCATTGTACTTTCTTTCATTTGTATGACATTATAGAAAACGTTCTAGGCAAAAGAAATCATATAATCCACAGTTTTTCTTGGATGACAAAGTTCTTTAAACATTATAACAAAAGCAGAAAACCAAAATCGGTTAAGTTTATTATGCGAACCTTGGGCCCAACAACACTGTCAGCAACGAAGGAAGTAAGGAGAACAAACATGAATAGAAAGTATTAGGGACATTTACAACGTACTCTTCAATGGGATATTTCTGGCTTAGGCTTTGTTTCTTGGTGCTTTGAGGCTCTCTCCAAATTTCTGGTAGTATTGCATTTGCTGGTCCACCATATGGACAAAGCAATGGGAAATGGAATTTTACATTTAGTGTTACGAAAAACAAAAAGAAGCAAAGGAATTGTTCGTTGAAAGTATTAGGCATCTGAAAATCAAATCCATACCTTGTCTGTTACAGATGGTGCAATTTTAGCCAGTGCTTGCTCAAAGTGAGTGTCTTTGATAGTCCATGGAGATGCATCTGAATTCCTCTCAGGTGTGGATGTCAGTTTTTCTTCAAGAGCAGCCATAGCCGCTTCATTCATCTGCATGGATCAATACGTTAGAGAGAATCCCAATCACCTTTCTTCTTCCCCAACACTCAAACAGAGGTAAGGGCAAATGAGAGAAAGGAAAAATCAGCTCTAAAATCAAATAATAAACTAAATGTTACAAAGCAAAAGAAAGCTTATATAATTAAGAATATAGACAAACCAGTGCAGCAAGATCAGCTCCACTAAAATTTTCACAAGTTTCCCTTTGTCCAATATCACTGAGATCTACGCTGGCATCTATAGGCTTCTTCCTCGCAAGAGCTTTTAAAATCAAACCACGCTCGTCTTTTGTGGGCGGGGAGACATAAATAAGTTTACCAAACCTACCGGGCCGCAATACAGCACGGTCCATGACATCGGGTCTGACAAAAGGTATAACAGCATGTAAGAAATGCATAATGATAATCATCACCGCCAAAACTGAAGAATGAAAAATGAGTCTTACCTATTAGTGGCACCAATAACAAACACACCCCGCCGCTGCTCTGCACCATCTAACTCTATAAGCAACTGCAGTTGTAAGAAGTCAGTTCTTTGTATCCATAAAGGAATGAAAACATGTGAGTTTGTAAGCAGTGGGTTAAAGATTGCCTTCACAAATTATTTTACCTGGTTCAATAGCCGTTCAACAACCCATCCTCCTTCTTTCCCCCGCTTTGTTGTTAAGGCATCCACCTATCAGTAAGTGAGGGGAAAAACTTGATCACGACAAGCCAGTAATCTATGCTACTTCATATCATTGAATGTTCAAATCAAATGATAAAATTCTAAAGAAGCTGATGGTAGCAACAACAATTGGCAGGAAGAGAGAACCACAAACCTCATCAAAGAAAAGTATGCATGGTGAGCATGTCCTTGCACGCCTAAACAATGTCCTAACTGCCAACTCACTTTCTCCAACATATTTATTCAGAAGTTCAGGGCCCTAACAAGTTAAGAAAAGCCATGTCAATCAAATGGATCCTCTCAACTTATCCAAAAACATGCACTGTAATATCTATTGTTACAGTGACCAAAATAAATTATACAAATTTATAAATAAACCCAATCCTAGACATGAATTTATAAAAAAAACCCAACACTGTTTAAAACATAGAAACACATCCAAAATAACCCAAAAATCAACAATTGTATATTTTTTGGGTGTGTTTATAAATGGGTTTTGAGTGTGTTTAATAAATGGGTTTTGGGTGTGTTTCTAAAGTGTTTTTCATGTTGGGTTTTTTTATAATTTCAGCCCCTATTTTGGGTGTATTAGTGAAACTCCCAATAAATTAACCTAACAAATCAAAAGTGTCCAATAGAAAAAGTCAATGACTGACCTTAATGTGAATGAAATTGGCTCCTGCTTCATTAGCGACAGCCTTCGCTATCAGTGTTTTACCACATCCTGGAGGCCCATAGAGCAAAAATCCTGTCTCTAAATCTACTCCAAATTCCTGAAACCACAAACCATTTCAAAATCATAATTAGCCACTTGATTGCAGACTTAAATAAAACAAATATATAGAATAAGGTACAGGCAGCAGAAAGTATGAAGCAGTAAAGAACAACAAGATACCTCATAGTTCTCAGGATATTTAACACGCCTAACTATATAACGATCAAATTCCTGCCTTAAAAGATCTAACCCACCAACATCTTCCCATTTTACATTAGGAATTGCAGAGAATCCTTCTCTTTTTGATGAAGGCTGAACCACTTGAACTGCTTCCTGCAGGAACTCACATGATAACGCTGTCAAGTCGAGAAATTTCATGAAGAAAGCATACTAAATGTGTTTTTTTATTTTTATTGCAATAATATGTAGAAGAGAATATGTAGCAAAACACCTCAAAATCAGCCATACTAATAGTAAGCCTTCCCATTTCTTCAGGCGACCATGGTTGCCTCCACCACTCTTCATTGCACTCCTCATGCATAGAATCTATAGACATATCAGTCTTCCTCTTGTGTATAATCCTTTTCATGGCAATGTTACCAGCCCTGTCGGCCAGGGCTGCCAAATCAGCCCCAACAAACCCTGGTGTAGACCTGGCTATTTTAAGAAGATCAAAAGAACCTTCAAGTCTTAGATTGCGTGTAAGCACAGAAAGAATCTGAACCCTGGCATTTTCATCTGGAACACCTAAAACAATCTCACGGTCAAATCTCCCAGGCCTCCTCAGAGCATGGTCAACAGCATCAGGCCTATTGGTAGCTCCAATAACAAGAACATAGCCAGACTTGTTATCAAAACTCTCGGAGTTGGAATTTGCATCAGCCGGTTGTACAAGCCTATGAGATTCATCCATGCAAGTCATTAGTTGTGTCACGATTCGCCTCTCCATTTCTCGTTGCAAACTTTCTCTTTTCGAAGCAATTGCATCAATTTCATCAATAAATACAATTGAAGGGGCAGTTCTATAGGCTTTAGAAAAAAGCTCTCTTATATTTTCTTCAGATGCACCTAAAATTTATGACGTGACAACAGATTACAATTCACAACAACATAAATTAAAGGAAGATAAAAACCTTAACAATAACAGGGTTTTGCAGCTTTTTAATTCAACTCATTCAAACTTTTGTAGTGAATAATGTTAATACCTGAGACACCAGAGACGACTTCTGTAGCAGAAATTTTATAAAACGGAATGCCGGTTTCATTGGCAATGGCATGAGCCAATTTGGTCTTGCCACACCCGGGTGGGCCGTACAACAGAATCCCAGACATTGGCCTGACTCCGAGCCACCGAGGCAGCTCGGGATGGCGCAGCGGCACAATCACCTCCATCTTCAGCTCCTCTATCACCTTCTCCATCCCACCTAAGTCACTAAACCTCGGACCCTCGCTTCCCTTCACCTCAACCCCTGTAGAAACCGAGCCCTTGGCTTCAGGTGTTAGCAATGTCTTTGGCCGCCTTGGCCCTCCATTTCCACCCATTAACTCAACTTGCTCGCGAGCAGGAAGCTCCATTTCTACATTCTTCTCCTTCTGCTCCTCGGCTGCCTTGGGCTTCAAGGCGCTGTTCGATTCCATATACGATGCTCGGAGACTCGATTTCATCACATCAAACTCCGGGTCCACTTTCTCGCTGTATATCGCGTCCTCCGAAGTCGACACAGACCCTTCTTCATCAGCATCATCATCAGAAGAAGATGTAGATGGACGGTCACCATTCCTTTGACGAACCCTTCTGAGGTGAGCAGACTCCATTCGCTGCAATTTATCCTCGCCCTTACTGACAGCACGTTTCCGCCTTCTCTGGGAATTGCTTTGGCCGTTTTCTTCTTCTTCTTCTTCTTCTTCATCTTCATCTTCTTCTAAGTCACTGACATGGATTAGGGTTTTGGATTGCTTAAAGGAAGGTGAGTCTAGGGTTTGCTGGACGAACTTCGTGAAAGACTGGAGCTTGATGCGGTGGTAGTCTCGGTAATTATTGCGAAGTTGGTGGACGATTTCGTCCAGAGAGGAGGAGCGCAGGTGCTTGAAGGTCTCCAAACGACAACGAAGAACCCTCTGCTTTTGTTCAGAGAGCGACCTCCCTCCTCCGTCTAACCTTTTTCCCGTCTTCTTCATCTCTTACTTGCTCTGTTGTGGCGGCGAAGAGAAAGAGAGAGAGTTAGCAGATGAGATGAAAGCCAGAGATTGAGTGACGTGATGAAAGACAGAGAGAGAAGAGAAGCTGACCTGAGAGGAGCGAGGCGGAGGCGACAGCGGGTCAGTTCGACTTCTCTTCTCTCTTCTTCTTGGCGGCCGTTTCTTCTCTGATTCAAAACGTTGTTGGCCCCCTCCTCTCTTTGTCGAACCATAATTTTTTTTATCAAAAATAGCCAAAATTTACGAGAATTTATCAAAAATAGCCAAAACTTTATCCTTAATTCCAAAAATGTCAGTTTGGGTAAAATATTTTAAATATAGCAAAAAACACACTTAAATAGACACAAATGCCCTCAAATTTAAAACCCGTATAAACCTAAAAAATAAACCTTATTAAATAAAACTTTGGAATATTTTTAACCCACATTTGTACAGAAGAACAAAAGTTGATATGTATCATCCTATTTATTGATATTTTAATCAATTTAAATTTAGTCTCAATCCAAGCATCACTAAACATCGGTTAAGTGTTATTCAACTTAAGCCAATTCAAGCCAAGACAATTTTTGAGAATAGTTCATGCCAAGACAATCTTCCGTAACAAACGAGGCTGTAGGGACCAACTTGGCAAATGACTGAAAGACTTGTTGCCGGATCAATTGCTCAAGTCTGTTCGAATGACACCATTATTTTGTCTTCTCCGACGGATCAATCCACCGAGTGTTCCCCGCACGCATAAATGCTGCACCGGCTTCTCAAAGAAGCTAATAAGTTTCAAAATTGGCAACCCATCCCACACATCACGTTGCCTTTTAAAAGCCACACAACCATATTTGTACAATTTGAGTGACAATGTCAAAAGAATTTGTACAAATATGGAAAATTCTGTGGAAAATTCTTTTGACTTTGTCACTCAAATTGTACAAATATGGTTGTGTGGCTTTTAAAAGGCAACATGACGTGTGGGATGGGTTGCCAATTTTGAAACTTATTAGCTTCTTTGAGAAGCCGGTGCAGCATTTATGCGTGCGGGGAACACTCGGCGGATTGATCCGTCGGAGAAGACAAAATAATGGTGTCATTCGAACAGACTTGGGCAATTGATTCGGCAACAAGTCTTTCAGTCATTTGCCAAGTTGGTCCCTTCAACCTTGTTTGTTACAGAAGATTGTCTTGGCATGAAAAATTCTTTTGACATTGTCACTCAAATTGTACAAATATGGTTGTGTGGCTTTTAAAAGGCAACGTGACGTGTGGGATGGGTTGCCAATTTTGAAACTTATTAGCTTCTTTGAGAAGCCGGTGCATCATTTATGCGTGCGGGGAACATTCGGCGGATTGATCTGTCGGAGAAGACAAAATAATGGTGTCATTCGAACAGACTTGGGCAATTGATTCAGCAACAAGTCTTTCAGTCATTTGCCAAGTTGGTCCCTTCAACCTCATTTGTTACAGAAGATTGTCTTGGCATGAACTATTCTCAGAAATTATCTTGGCTTGAATTGGCTTAAGTTGAATAATACTTAACCAATGTTTGGTGATGCTTGGATTGGGACTAAATTTAAATTGATTAAAATATCAATAAATAGGATGATATATTTCAACTTCTGTTCTTCTGTACAAACGTGGGTTAAAAATATTCCAAAGTTTATTTAATAAGGTTTATTTTTAAGGTTTGTATGGGTTTTAAATTTGAGGGCATTTGTGTCTATTTAAATGAGTTTTTTGCTATATTTGAAATATTTTACAAAAATTGACATTTTTGAAATTAAGGATCAAGTTTTGGCTATTTTTGATAAATTTTCAAAATTTACCCCATACTTTCATAAATATTAGTTTTTATAAAAACTTTCAAAAATAGCCAAAAACTCAGTTAAATAGACTCAACTACCCTTAAAACTAAAACCCACATAGGAGGAAAACCCTATTAGATAAAAGAAGGGCAAAGCTACACCTAACAAGAAATGAAAAAAAAACTGAGCTCCTTTGATTTCAAAGTCTCATCGACTAGAACCTCTGTCTGTGATGCGAAATCCATTGAATTTCGCAACCATGGCGAGCACCAAAGTTCAGAGGATTATGACCCAAATCATTAATTTGATTTTCTGGTTCCTTCAAAGTAAAGCTCACATTTTGATTTGGCTCTTGATTGAAGTCCAAATCATTGGTTTTGATGTGTACATGAATTTGGTTCTCTATGAAGCTGAAGAAGTCAGCATCAAGAAAAAACTAGAAAGTAATTGGGAAAGGAGACCTCATCTTAAGCAATATCGGATATTTTCAATTTTGCTATGGATTATTTTCAAAACTATACTCTGGATTGCAATCCCTTTATTTTTAGGGAGTTTCACTAAAACACCCAAAATGGGGGCTGAAATTATAAAAAAACCCAACACCCAAAACACTTTATAAACACACCCAAAACCCATCATTACACACACTCAAAACCCATTTATAAACACACCCAAAAAATATACAATTATTGATTTTGGGGTTGATTTTGGGTGTGTTTCTATGTTTAAATAGTACTTGAGTTTTTTTATAAATACATGTCTAGGATTGGGTTTATTTATAAATTTGTATTATTTTTATTCGAACAAGTTTAGTTTTTTTGGAGCGGTTCTTGATTTACAACATTGATAACAAATGGAGTACCTTTGTTGGTTAAAAAAAAAGGGCATGGGGTAGGGTAGTCAAGTGGAAGATCTTGGGGGAGAGGCTGGGGATGGGGCAATGGGGAAGATGTTGCTGGGAGTTGGTTGTGGGTATGGAGAGAGAGAGAGAGAGAGAGAGAGAGAGAGAGAGAGAGAGAGAGTTTTGGGGTGGGGTGGTGAGTGTGACTTAGGGAAGCGGGCCTTGAGGTGGGGAAAGTGGCTTGGGCGTGGAGGTTGACAAGGTGGTGAGTTGTTGAAAGAAAGAAAAAGGAGATACAAGAGTGGTGGCAACTGGGATAGGCAGGGATGGTGGTGTATTGTTTTTTTTTAGTTTTTAGGTTTATGTGTATTTTTGTTTTGAGGGCATTTGAGTATATTTAACTGAGTTTTTGGCTATGTATGTTTGAAAGTTTTTATAAAAATTGACATGTATGAAAGTATAGGGTAAATTTTGGTTATTTTTGATAAAAACTCGTCGAACAATGAGGAGGAGGTGGTGGCTAATAAAATTAATTTTTTAAAACTACACTTTGATCCCCTATGTTTTTTAGTTTCTAAATTTGTTTAGAAATTGTGAAAATTGCCTCGAACCATTTTTTAAGAGTAAAATGGTTACTTTGCAACTCCACCTTCAAATTATCCTATTTTTTAACCATGAAATTAGTGTTGGGTTTTATTACCAAAATACTGCTTGAATTGAGAAATCGACTGTCCCGAATCATGGTCAAACTGACATTGACTAGAACCGAACAAATCGAGACTAAGACCGATCAATATTATTTAATTATACCGATGATTCTACCAAACCGACCGATATTATTTATTTATTTTAATTAAATTACATGTGTAGTTGTTTCATTGGGCCTTATTTCAGGACCTATGTAGAACTAGTCACACTAAATCCACCAAGTTCCTTTCCTTCACCTCTCGATAGCTCTCTTCTCTCATTTCTCCCAAACCAAAAAAAAAACCTATCTCTTCTATTCTCCTATCTTGTCGTCGTCGTCGTCCTCCTCCACCTCACCTATCTTCTTCACCTCATATCTCGTCATTGCCTCCTTCTCCACCAACTCCACATCTCGTCATTGCCAGTCTCTTCTCATTTGTCATCGTCGCCTCCTTTTGTAATAGTCTCCTCCACTCCACCTACTCGGACCCTTCTCATTTGTGTGCGTTGCCTCTCTCTCTGTCATCGTCTCTGTCACAAACTCCTCCACCTCTTCCTCAAATCAATGTCACATTCTAGGTTAGTTTGTGATTTCAATTTTCAAATCTAAATTAGGGTTTTTGTAAAATTAAGGGTTTTTAGAAATTGAAATTGATTTTGTTTGGTTTGGATTGGACAAAGATTGGCATATGTTGAGTTTACTTGGAATCGAGAGGCTTTGGATTGGGTATATTTTCTTATCCTTTGGGAGAATTGGTTTGTTGCTAGGCTAGAAATAGTTGTATTGTCTATGTGTTTTGATGTATGATCTTTTGATCCATGATTAGGTGACTGAATATGTCCAGGGGGTGCTTTTGTTATTGCTATTCTTTTCTGCAGCTATGTTTGTGTCACTATCCAATTCGAAAATAAGGAATATTCCCGAATCATGGTGTGAGTCATACCATAGTCATAAGAATAAAATCTTACAACCATGATATGATGAGAAATAGAGCCACAAATAATACAAATTTAATTAACAACACAAAATCAGAGTCACAATAGCTCATAGTTAAATACACACTAAGATTTTTATCAAACGGTTGACTACTTACAATTATTAATTACACAAATCAACAACAAAAGCCCAGCAACTTAGTTGAAACCCGCTTCGTCAAACTTCTTCTTTAATATTGCACAATCTATTAGGGTATGAGCATTCTAATGCCTAGTAGAGTACTGTCAAACCCTTCAAGGTCAACTATCATAGTTAATCAAAGTGTCATGCATCAAACAACACAAGATACAGAAATTATGCAACCATACCAGATAAATAAATTTACATATGCTGATGCCATGAACTCACTCCCTTTTAATCCCACTAATTCATACCTTAGGGCAACAAGCCTGCATGTCTCATACTATGCGTTTTATCATTGCGGCTCTGAATACCTTAAAATATGAACTAGCGCCCATCCGTCCCTTAACCCAATTTTCTTTGGTTTACGAATTTATCAACTTTCACTTTTCATTAGAGGCATTGCTTCCATCACCTCAATATATTCAAGCCCTGCTTCCGTCACCTGAATATATTCCACATTTTTTTACTCAACGACACACACACCCTTAACACCACTGTATTTATTATGTATATGTAATGCAGCGCAAACATCATTTAT